GGTGGCGGTAGCCGACCACCCATTGAGGAACTGGAACGGGAACACGGTAGAGGAACATTAGTAGCGCTCTCAACGATAGCTGTAAATGTTCGGCGCGACACGCACATGCACGCACACGCATTCCCATTAGTCGCCATGACGTGGGGAGTGACCGTATTCCACAGGACAGGGGGTTAGGGGCGAGGCAGGACCTTCCCTAGCACCCCTCCCTGGAGCTCTGACTTTCCCTAAAATAGATGCTTCATGAACAACTGGATAAAGAACCAATGGTTGTAGCAGAACGTTGAGTAAGGGATGTCCCTACCGTACTAAGCACAGTATCGGGCAAGACCCTTGAGGGATATGGTAACTGAGGGTCCTTGGGACGAAACTTGTGGTTTCACTGTGCTGCCAGGCAAAAAATGAACAGTTTTTGGCCCTGGCCGATTGGGGACAAAAGGCTCAGCTGAGAACTGAGCTTTCTATTTGGTTCTAGAAGGGGTCAAACTGATTCCTATAGGATCAGATTACACTTAGGCTAAATAAGATAGAGGTGTAAATAAGATATAAGGGATAAAATAATGGCGGATTTATTAGTTAAGACTTAAACTTCAGTAGTATAAGTTACATAGTTTCTTGGCTGTTGGGAGGTTTCTCTAGGCTTGACTGGCCGACTGGAAAGCCCGATTTCGAAAAATTCAACTCAAGGCACAAGGTTCAGTGGGAAGGAATGCCCAGTCTCTTACTGTTGAAGGTAGGCTTGTAGGCCCCGTCAAAGCGAGAAGCCTTCAAAGGAGGTGCTGGCGAAGTTACGACCTCACTCGACCATGTAAGTGATACGTTGTCCTAAATGGTCGGGGGTGTCTGTCGGACAGCAAAGGCCTGGATGCCGGCACGGGAACAGCCGGCGCCGTCGCCAAAGGCCCCTTTACCGGTCAAAGCGCCTTGTGTGGTGTCGGTGTAATGCTGCGGCTGCTGTGAGGACCCCTTTAAAGGTGTTCACGTGGTGGCACGACGAGGACCAGATGTCCTCGAAGTCGATGCGCGATTTCGAATCATTGAACTCCAGTAATAACCGTAATTAGCTGGTTCCGAGAAGGACATGGCAGGCGACAAATGGCTGTCCCAACATGGCTTATTTGGCGCCCAATCATTCCCAGAGTGGGCAAAGTTGTTGGAAAGGTTGGGTTGAAGTGGAAATGAAGCAACCAGTACTGGCCAGCTCCACCGGAGTGAACTGGGTCAGATGACTGATGAAAGCCGCTCAGTAAGTATTTTAATAAGAGTGCAAACAGTGTGCAGTATGAAAACTGGCTCGGAATGTTGTCTTTCGGGTACGATGAAGAACCGAGAAAATTGCCTTTGTGGTCGGATGAACAATGTGGTGGAATGAATTGAAAAACATTCAATGAATGATGAGTATTGATCGATTTCTTGAAGGATACATTGAAGAGATACGTAGAAAGAAAGCACGAGACGAGACGAGACGAGAGTGGATGGATGGATGTAGAGAACCAGGGCTTGAACGGGCAACGCCGACGGACCGAGAGGAGCGCCAAGGAAGTGGGCGGTCTCGATCTCTACCTCGAAGCGTCAAATAAGCACATGCGAAGCACAACATTACAGCAAACCGCTAGAGAGCGAACGGGGGAAGGCTGACAGAAAAAGGAACGCCGATGTCCGATGCGGCAAATGCCCCAGTCAGCGCCAGCACAGCACAAACGCACCCAGTATTGGATGCGTGGGAGACTACTGGAAAGCTCTCCCTTACGGGGGAGAGCTAACCTACTTTTAGCAACCATTAGAGGGCCAACAAGTTTAAGACGGTGTTTTTGATTTTACCATGGGCAATGTCTGGGACTCTGAGACAACCGAGGTTATTTGGTTCTGTCAAATCCTAAGGAGCCGTCAATACCTCAGATGAAAGGGAAAAACAGCCAAAAGCTACCATTATGTCCAGGAGTGTACAGAAATGATATTATCTTAGTGTTTCCCATCCCAAAATGGTGTTGAATTTCAGAAAGACCTCCCTTTCAGCTCCTTCAAGTCGTTCTCAATGAATTTTTTGCGGCTCTTTGTCTTGAAGGGCATCAGGACCCTGATGAGGCCTTTGACGACCCGACACCGGAGTGACATTCTCTTTGAAGATGGTATTGGGCTTTCAGAACTTATCAGAATCCTCTGTAAGATTTTTTTAAGTTACAAAGTTATCCAACAACTTTGAATTAGCGATGAATGAAGGATCAGCTCTCTCTAGAAAGAGTTCCAGAAATCATCGATATATTTATGATCTATCAATATATCTTGCCTGTAGAAATAGTTACTGTACTTCGAAATTTCAAAGTTTATTTCAGTGTTAAATGCTTCAGCATTTCGGAGTGGTAGTTGACTCACTCATCCATTAACTCGAAAAAAATTTAAGCCAAAAATGCGAAACGCTCATAGCCACCCACGCCAAAGCATTTTCTAGCCGAATCCAAATTGCTTGATAGTTTTTTTCATACGCTCTTCGCACCTTTGGCGAGATCTTCTTGAGATCATCAGTTATACAAATTCTCAAAATTTCAACGAGATTGCGAGTTCTCACCATGTCCAAAAATTCCTCGAAAAAATTCGAAGTTTTATTCAAGAACATCTGAGCGCAATCGTCGAAACGCGCCAGGAATTTAAGTGCACGGCGTAACACATAATGCTATTAGGCATACTTTCCCTATAGAACCGTGATGCGTATATCGAATTATTCCCCACATCGCTCTGCTTATGAATCGATATCTCGACCGGATAGCAACTGCTATAGTAGGCGACTGAACGAAAGATAGGATGGAGCTCATAGGAGGTGAGGATGGGAGAAGGAGCTTTGAAGGTATTCGCAAAATCTGTTTATAGAAGAATAGCGTAAGCTTTATGGCCATCGAAACTGATAGGTTGTGGAGAGTGGTTTCCAGGGTGGAAGTATCTCTCTCCACGACTCTTTGGAAGGGGAAAAAAATTCACTCCACCATTGTTTTACAGCTTCACTTATGGTGTTGGTACTCCACAGAACCAGAGTTTTGAGGAAATACCA